GGCAACCAGTGACAGTTGCGCTCATTAGCACCTGGCCGACTCCCGCCAGTTGCCAACTGTCATCCTCGCACTAACGCGAATTCAATATGTACAGTAATGTACATATTGAATTCGCGTTACTGTACATATTGAATTCGCGTTAGTGCGAGGATGACAGTTGGCAACTGACGGGAGTCGGCCAGGCGCTAATGAGCGCAACTGTCACTGGTTGCCACCAAGTATGAAATTTTTTATTCTTCATGCCATGGGAACAATTATAAAGCACAACAATGTATCGTTCATGGATGAATGTCCTGTGCTTCGGGCTTAGCCAGCCTCGGCTCGTCGTTGTGGAATAGCATCGGCGGACTGCCCATACGGTCGTCGTCGGCGATATAGTTATGCAAGCTGAAGGTGTGAGAGATTTCCGAGCTTCCGCCGTTGATCGCCGACGCTGACTAAAAACGAATGATAAAAGAAGGGGAACACCGGAAGAAAAAAATTATTATGATCGGGATCACATACCGCACGAAGCATAAATTCCATTTAATCGATGCACGCCTGCAAGGAGCGCAACTCCTTCTGCACCTGAGCCGCTTGTTTTTTATGCTCTTCATCCTGTCGATCCAACTTCTCACCCCAGGCAACTATAGCCTGCTGATGGGTCTGCAGCAAACTGATCTCTGTCAGCCTGGAGAGACACCGGTTGCAGCCGGTCGGCTAAAATAGAAAGTAAATTAGACGCGAAGGTAGGTCTTTCTCTCCAGTACGATTAAGGTCTGGATCATAGTGCGATGGAATTCTCCGATGATGGGATACATGTAGGATTCGCCTGACATATTAGCTGAAGGGATTGGATTAAAATAATAACAGTTTCTCTACAAACACAAACCCCTGGGAGGGCTGTCAATATTTAATACAACCTTGGGAAGAAAAATACAAATTCACATTCCACGATTCAAATATTTATTCAGAAAAGCCTTTTTCCAAATAAGGGGAGAACTTGTTTATTTTTTCTGGTGTTCATCTTTGGAAAGGAGCTGCGACCAAGGCGTTACCTCGCCGTGTAAAAGCCCGAAGTTTACATGCGTGAGCTGTTCTATCTTCGGGATCTGCTGCTGAAAAAGCGACAATAGGTACTTCATCCAAAATTTAATCGTAGACTAAACATCACATACCCCCCGCAGGTAAAGCAGATGAGTATAGTGCCTGTACATTTGCTTTAGGTTTTGCTCTAGGCCCTGCAGAACTCCTAATGAATGGCCCATGCGCTCCCCGCTCTCAATCGTGTTCCGTTCACACACCGCAATGCGTACCGTGATATTCCCCACAGTTTCGGAGGGTGAAGAAACCGAGCGCGACGCCAATAGTGAGGGTGTGTACTCGGACGAGGAAGAGGAGGTGAGCCCTCGTACACGGGGATGGATGCGAAGTTCCACAAGTATCTGGGAGTTAGACTCATTTTTTTGCTCGTTTCTGAAACAATAATATTAAGGATTTTTAGAGATAAATCACGGAATGCGGAGATATGCTCAAAGGGAGACCTAGCAGAGTGAATAAAACAGTAGACCTCACAGTAGAAAAAAAAGACAGCAAATACTCCTTATGCTCTATGACCCCTTCTTATATAGCAGCTTATTAAGCACGCCCACATAACAGAAACAATCATTTCCCTCAAGTATTTGCACAGGGATTATCCACGCAAACAGTCCCCCTCGAGTGCACTACCCAAAACTACAGTGTTTTAAAGTCATCGCCAATGGCATGCCGCGATCCTAAGTAAATAAATATCTTCAGCATATATATTACATCCACCAATGGGTATCACTAGAATAAAATATGTAAAAATCATCCCAACACTAGTTTGAACCAAGGAAAATATAAAGACTTGGCGCAATCTCTGAAATCTCATAATTTCCCCTATCTACATAATCAGTAAGTTAAGGCAATTCATATACAATGCTATTTTCCCGTCATACCTCTAATTCACACCTAAATAATAATTAAAGTTAAGGGAACCACCTTCCCATCACTAACTCACGTTAATATCTTTTCTTTCCTCATGGCGTAACGCTAAGCATCGTTAGGCAGCCCCATTCCACGCACATATATCCAGGTAAGCGAGGACTCGACAAGAGCCTAGATGAATTCAAAGCTGTAGCTTGAAAATTGTAATAAGAAACGCTGACATCAAATAAATAATGTTTATGTTGGCATTAGACGAGCATTCTGACTAGTACGAATAAATAAAAAAAACTCGGTTTCTGGTCAGCTACTGATGTTTTTTGTTGCTTGTTGAAGTAGTCTCATTCAGTTATGGCGCGTCTCGTCCACGGCACCGCTCTGTCGCACTTACCGCCTTTCACGCTACACGACCTCATTGTCTCCGTACGTGAATCGCAACACATCCGCAGTAAAGTCTTAGATCTGGATCATAGTATGTGAAAATTGTGTTGCATGTCTGCATTCTCATCGAATTATATACTTTGGCTTCACTTTTTATACTTCTAAGCAATACGGTGTAGTGATAAACTAAGTAATCCTTCAGTGATCAAAAAATCACCTCCTGAGATAAGAAAAGGGGGGTGTTGAGCGGTTCTGTCGCAGTCTCGATGGATACTTTTTAAAATACGTAAGTTTAGGGCTGAGGAATGATGTGCCAATTTTTTTCTAGCATAGCCGTCGACCGAATCTCTCCATATACAAGGCGGCAACTTTGTGTGTCTGTTAGTATTCCCGTTTATGCGTACTTCCGAAGTCACCTAGGCACGGTGAAGCGGTGAGGAAGCAGTCATGAAATGGGAAGTCAACCGATGCTGTTTATATTGGTCCTTTAACAAGTCGTAGGTAAGCGGTAGTGGGCATGTGGTGCACGTGTTAGCGAGCATACCCCAACTGGTTTATCATTATGTATGTGTAATACTATTCATGTATGTCATGTAATATTGGGTTGTAACATAAGTTCGTAGAGTTTTTTCACAGAGATTTATTTCAACAAAAAACAATAATTATAATAATAAATTAATCAATGATGTATCTTCCTGTTACTGTTTGCGACCTTCTCCAATCTCTCGACCAATTTGTTGATGCCGTTTCGCCAAAAATCGGCCGGTCTGGTGTCGAAGAAGTTGTTGAGCCAGTTTCCAAGAACCTCTTCGCCATCGAAGGTAACACTACTCATTTGGTTTGACAGAGAGCGGAGAGGTGACAGTCGGTAGGTGCAAGACCCGGAGAGTACGGTGGATGCTGAAG